TAAGGTAGCATGCTACTTAAATATCTTATCCTTCTTAATATTTGGATACTTCTATTAGACATAACAGAGGGTGCATAGCAATATAACATAAGGCTTAAGAATTTAGATATTCACCATTTGCTATCCTGTTAGAATTAGTTACTGGGTCTCGACTTTTATAGGCCAACAAATCGTTTGTCTTAGCAATAGTCATCATTGGTTAATCGAAACATTAACTTGATTCAAGATTTAAATCACCACTTGCTTATGGTGAGTACAGCTGCAGATTTCTAACAGACTTTAACACGTTTCTACTTAGTGTGCACCTAGAATAGCATAGTATGGCAATTACAAGTCTCTAACAGCATATATTGCCTCCTGTAATATGTAGCCCATTAAATGCAATTAACTCATTTGTTTTGTCTGTTGCTTACAGCCGTAAAGAAAGAGCCACGGCTTCTGTTTCGTAATTGGAATGTAACCTCAAGGTATTTAAAAGGCGAGTTTGAAATGATCGCAAGTTGAAGGACGTTGCTGCAAGCTTACTCTGAAAAATGCTTGCATGCTGCAGCGCAGTTTGCGTGCACCTATTATAAAGAACAGGAACATTTACCATTTTGTTTTGGCAATTACATAATTATATGGTCACCTTTCGCAGAGTCGCATAATCCAGGCGGCGACCGTCCAGAAGCAAAGCGTGAACACCAGAAGCACCGTTCCTGGTCTTGCTGTTGTCAGAGTCTTTAAAATGAAGCCAGTGGTGAATTTGATTCGGTTCAAAGCGCCAATGCTACGACTGGCCGTGTCTGTGTACAGTCGGCTGTGCAGCAGCATAGCACGAAAGATGAGGTAGAGGCGACCAAACATAGCGATTGATAGAAATACGTCTACCGACAGCGGGGGCACGTCGGTACCGTTGCCGTCATCCGCGTGCCTGGCGGATGCTACGGCGAAGTTACCCGGTATCGGACATATGGCACACACAAGCAGCTCAACACAAATTCGCCATACCCTGCCGATGTCGACAGCCAAGCGCCAGTCTTCACAACTGTTGTCGATCATGAACATCTTAAACCATTTTTCTATGTTAATCAACGCCTACACCAAAAATAGCAACTGGCATAAAAATACCTTAATTTCAAGACCGTGATATATCACAATCGTTCCCAGTAGGAGGCATGTTGACACCAAGATAAAAAATTTGATCACGTGAGAAGAAATCGATCCCTAAACATGCTTTTAATGAGATGCTTCTCCGGAGACTAGGAATTTTCGTTATGAGCGCATTGAATGTGTGAACCGTAAAGAAAGTTAATCATTCAAGTTACATCTTATTAAGATAAGTATTTCTTTCCGGGTTTTGTAACTATCGACAAACCAAAGAAATAAGAGAGAAGCCACAAAATCCAACTATCAATCAAATTGATGGCTTATCGCCATGACAAACTTTCAGCGCTGTTTCAATCCGTATCTCAGCGCCTCGTTTACTCTTCAACTTTTGGCCACACTCATTAATGTTGAAAACCTGAAGTGGAAATTGTAACATCTCGAAGATCCATTAAAAGGATGAAACAGTGTAAACAGAGATCATGTCCCCCTTTATATCACTAGTTATCGTTGCGATGATTAAATTTTGCATAAAATGCCTGGCATTTTTCTATTTTCAGTGCAATCGTGAAGGCAGGAACAAAACTCAAAATTACAACAAAAATGATGTAAAAATTGCATAAAAAGGGTATGAACAATCCTATGTTTCCATCCTTTGCGCGGAAAATAATTACTTCCATAAGAAATAGAACATTTAAGTTGCAATATACATTCTGTCGACTTTGCTGAGGTAGGTGGAAAAATGAAGCTCGAACTTGCAACAATATTAAGAAGCTGCAAACTATTTAAAATAAATAATGTGTAAATATTTTGTACCGTATTGTAGACTTTCGCGGCGGTGAGTTCATTTTCGACAATCATAAGTGCTATTCCGCATGTAGCAAAGATCAGGGAGCAATCAGCAGTCCTTCGGCGACATTCAAATATCTGTCTGCGTTTAGCAAGCCTGTAGCTGACCTGCGGATGGCATGAAGGTCTTGGATTCATGCGAACAGTCATCTGATCAAGACCTTGGGGAATATCGCTGTCTTTGCGCCCTGATTCGGCTGGTGGAGCAGAGATGCCCTGCGAACTTTCCTCTTTGAAGTTTCGTAGATACTGCTCTTTGTGTAGGTCTTTCGTTTTGTCCCTTGTCGATAAAATTCTCTGAAATGAAACATGTTCATCACGTACACAACGGTCATGCTTCAACACAATTCTTTACTGTTGTGTTCACCAGTCACAGTTCGACTGCCACGCATCCTGCTAACCCTCAGGCTTAGCACAGTTCTCAACATCTACTCGCCGCTAATCACTGAAAGGGAATGGGACGTTTCGACACAGCCCTTTTCGTACACCCTGTTTGGGTGCAGATTTGCGGTTACTGTCACCGCCCAGAGCTGCCGGCCCTGCGTTGACTCTGCATAACCGGCCGGTGGTCATCTACATCAATTATTTGATATCGCTCTTAGTTCACGCTGTGTTTATCAATGGAAGGCTCTTCGCGGATGAAGGACCATGAGTTTGATAGGTGATTTACTGATTGCAATTCCACTGTGGTGACCATTCGAAGTCGTTTAATCAGCGCCTATTCCTGCGTTCGTGAGTTTAATTTACATCATTAATGGGTTGTCATCCAAATCAATTACATCTCCCCCTCGAATGCCTCGCTGGAACGCGCTCTGCGAGTGCAACGTGATGCTATTACCAAACTGGTGAATTTAAAAGTTTCCATTTTACTTCATGACTGCACTGTGGTGGATCAGGTCAATAAGAATATGGACAGTCATTTAGCCAAGAGTTTGAATATTTGAATTTTGCAGACATTTATTTAAATCTCATTAATACGTTTTTAAATCATACTACATGTCGATACAGATTTCTTTATGGGCCTGCGTATTTGTCAGACGAAAACGCAACCATTTAAATTGACGATGCCTGGGACGAGTTTCGTATTTCCTCACAGTGGGACTTCGAAGGATCTATAATGGGAGACATCAAATCAAATAATTGGTACAAATGATCATATAGACAAGTGTTTCAACGATTCATGGATCAGCGCACCGAACACAACAGGTGGTAAAACAGTTTATTGTCAACGCGTTTCACTACGGAGACCGTAGCATCATCACGACTAGGCAAAGTAGAAATAAATGCTTGAAGGCAGATGTCCAACAAGCGAACAGTACATTGCAACCAAAATATTTTTAAACCGAACGGCCAGTGTTAGTCAATAAACCAGTGTACAGTTCTCCTTAAAACGAGCTTATCAATTTTGTAACTGTCCCCCAGCTTTGACCAATAATCATGGAAGATGTGTATTCATTGCGTATCTTGTGTTTCATTGCAAGTATATGCAAGGACTCCTTTATCAGCAGACCAAATTTAGATTGGTCTTTTTTATGACAGAAACATTGGTCTGACTGAAAGAATGCCCAGTTAATTACTGTAATATACAACACATTTCATTTCTACGGGTATTCAGCCAGTATTCACATGCTTGACAATACCCGAATTGTCAGCGTATCCAAACTGGATTGCAGAAAGGTGCACATTTATCCTGATGTTCAATTTTCGGTTGGTCTTTCCAATGTACACCTTGTCGCAGTCTCTGCAATGCATACAACATTTGACACATCTTCAGTGTTATTAATGGGCATGTGCTTTTTAAATAAGATGTCGCCCAATGTTCTGTCAGTCTTGTAGTAGACTCTAAACCCCATGTGGTTGAGGTATCTATTAGTGCGTTGAGATACCTCAAGTACGAACGGTAACATTACCATTGGTCCACACCAGCTGGCCATCATTAAGTTTGAGCTGGGGTGCAGAAGAGAGAACACGTTGGTGACGCCTATGAATTAATATGAAGCTGGAATGTTCGGCCACTTCCAGAACAGTGAAGTACATACGAAACTCCGAAAAAATACTAGCCCTGACAAGGCAACGCGTCAAAAGCTACTGGGGATCTTAAGGAATTTGCAGGATAGGAAGATTGTCACCCGAAAAGTTATACGCAGGATCCTGCCTAGCACTGATTCCTGTGTGACTCCAAGACCTTATGGATTAGTAAAAATCCATGACTGGCATCCCGTTGGGTGTTATCATGCAGGCTAAGGGAACAGTGAACAGTAGCATACCAGATCGCCAAAAAGCTGGATATGCTACTGAAAACTGCTGCCAAGGGGATGGCTTACAGTGTTAAAGACAGAAAGCAATTTCTCTGCAAACTGGAAAAATACGATCATCAAGAATGCTTTATGGCTTCTCTAGACGCCAATGTTCTTTTCAGTAATATGAATATTAACAGGCTGTACAATAATATTCTACCAGACATCTTGAAGAACACGATGAACGAGTGGAGAAT